TGGGAAAGAAGAGGGCCGGAGTGACAACAACAACCGCAAAAGCCCTTAATAAAAAATACAATTTATATTATATTGATAAACCCTCAGAAATTTAAAACTACAAATAAGAAAAATCTGATTAGTTGTGTGAAATCAGAAAATTAAACCACAAACAAACGAATCAAAATTATCCAGTTAGGTAATTATGGTAGTAACTGCATAAATCATGACTTCACAGCCAACAAAGAAGCTTATCCTTCCTAACAAAAAAGTGAATGCAATTGCATCACTGAGAATGATTTTAAGCCATATTACCGACAATCACCAGCCATTGGTTATTAGAGTCTCGACTACTCCAGTCAGGGGGTCTACACTTCCCTCAAACCAACAGTCAAAGGATTCATGGATTAATGCCAGGTTTCAATGCGATTACCTCTATCTCTTCTCCTGTCAAGAAACACTGGTAGACGAGGAAGGGGATGGTTTAACACGCATAGCAGATGTTTTAACCTTTTCAAATAGCATAACTTCATTACCTTACCCACTGACTTCCTTTACTTAGCTAAAATTCTAACTCACGGGATAGAATGCAAACACCTATGGTCCTACACGGCTATTTGCACGTGTACGCAATAAAAACATAAGTTCGCGCTGTAAACATTTTGAAGCAGCCAACATGTAAAATTAGAACGGAAAGAGAATGACGATATACTGCAGAACTATGAACGCGACAGGAATGATAAAAAATGATTTACAGCTAATAAATATGTACACCAGTAAAATAGGTTGTGGGTCGTTTCGTCAACACTCTTAGAAACCTAAGAACTTCAGTCACTTAGCATACATTTATCCACATGGCTCACGCTTCTTGGGATTATTGCATACTATATTTTATCATTCCCTAACTATCTTCCAACTTAAGTGTATGTTAGTTGAAATCACTTTTCCACGGGGTGGAATCGAGTAATAATTAACGTATGTCCCAATCATTTTGCTGATAAAGATTTGGTTCAGTCGTTTGCCTTCTTGACCCAACACAGTGTATCTAATCTCAACCTAATTCACTTCGCATTTCTATCACAAGGGAGTGGTACTAAAGGACCTTGACACACTTATTCTCAGAGATTAGGATAGGTAAACAGTACAAACTTCTTATGATAAACAATTCACGTCAAAAATCGAGAGAACTTTCAGAGGCGCCGAATTTCGACAACAATTATTCCACTTAATTGGATTTAACTTCAAATATTAGTGAGGCGATTGATACAGTCAACCACTTCACTCTCTATCTTTTATTTAGTAGTGGGGACACAAACCCTAAAAATATGATACATAAGATCATCTCAGAGATAGATTGAGCTTTAATCACATCTTAGGAAAATCCAAAATTTTTTGAGAAGGGGTTAACTGGCTGACAGCTGCATTACAGTTGCTCATCATCCAACCCTTGCCTCTAAGAGATGCAGATATAGGTCCGCCAACTCTAGATGAAACTGCAAAATGTACATGTAGGTTAGATCAAGACAAAGCACCAGGATTTAATATAAGGGATGGTAGACATGCTGTTGGTGAATTATCAACTACATTAGCTAAGGGAGAAGTTAGTGTCTGGGGTTTCGAGTTATTTCCAACAGATTGAAGTAAATCAATGGTATTCTTGGCCTCCCTATGATACCCACAAAGTGTTCAGCTCGACTAACAAGGAGTCTTAAGTTTCTTATTTGTGTGAAGACTTAGTGGAGCTCAAGAAAAAAAATACCCACAAGAAAACCAGGTGAGCATCAAGCGTGAACGAGAATGTATTGTTATCTTCACCCTTCAACAGATTCTGGAGCATACTTACCGGCATTGGACACAGTCGAATAAGAGATGCAGTGGCAATGTCTAACTGTGAAGGGAGTGCAGGGAAATTTTGTCACACTAAGACACTTTGGTCAAACTTGTGAGACTGTCTATGAGATTTATGGCCAGTTTTGTCTTCTGAAGTGACAAAAACAAAGTGTTCGTCAAGACGGTCTACTGTCAACTTATTAATTTAACTTCACTATGGATGTACTAACGGAAGTAACCCTGGTCGAGTTCTATATCTCAAGAACTGGGTAGTTGCCAAGGATGGATATCTTAGCTATATGGTATGCAAATGATGAGTCCTTCTAGGTGAAGACGATAACAAAATGCAGTCCCCTGAACATTTCGGCCAAATAATAACGCTTGGGTGGCTGTTTTCCTCTGCCAAATTTAAGATGATACTGAAGAACTTGATTTTCAGACTCCTAGAATAAAGACGGGTAGAGAAGTGGTTGAACTTGTTGAACAGCTCACATATTCATAGAATTGCATGAATCATAATGAACTGATTTCCGAAGAAGTTACAGTGGGCAAACATAGAGCCTGTCAGGTATTCGCCAAGTTGTGTCATCTTTACCTCAGACGTGATATCAAACTATCCATCAAAAGATGTGTGCATTGTGTAGCAACTAACCCTGTTTGAATTTTTAGCTGGTAGCATAGCTAAATATACGTCTCTTTGTTGGACAAAATGTCAACGTTCATCGTACACTTAAAATAATAAAGATAAGGAAACATCGAAATACCTTTCACCAACTAGAGACAGTGTCACTGACATCCAATGCCAATATCCCCTTGGTAAGGACTTTTCACTAAGTTAACGTTTCATCCATTACGGAACTCATCACTTGGATGAGTAACTTCGTAATTAAACCTACCATCATAAAAACTAGGTTACTGTTTGTTAAACTACAAAGTTATCACCGCTATTCCTTATGGACAGTATGGTGATTATCAAAATATGTGGAATTGTGTAGGCGATTATTACTACCCTGTTATCTACACCATAGAGGTTGATTTCTTCTTAAAATACTTCAAAGACAAGAAGCATTAGTTTTGTGTCACCGCAGTACACAGAGAATACCTGCTTGAGGTCGGTCTGAAGTGGTTTTTAGATTTTTATCCGTAAGTAGATCATACTGCCTGCCAGAGACCGCGGCAAAGTTAGGATGAACAATTTTTGGGGTAGACTTTTTCTAAACCCTATTGCCTTAAGCGACGAGGCAGTACAGCTAGCTTTCTGGACTTTAGAGGGACACACCTTACTGCAGTTACATACCTATTCGTCAGCAGTACAACTCTACACTTGTGGGTCGGTGGCGTAGCGACTGGGACGCTCGCCGATCATGCACATGGTCCGGGGTTCGATCCTCCACCGACGCACTCCGACATCTCGCTAGGCCAGAAATAATCCTGGTAAAGAGGAAAGCTTGGACATGAGGCTAGCAACCCCATCCTGTAAAATAAAAACTGCTACAGGAACTTCAAGCCACTAGCTTGAAGCCCTACGTTCCACTGGGGAACTTGAAGGGAAAAAAACAACTCTACACTTAGATTCTCCTCGACACAACAGTAACACTATCATGTTAACTGCTTTTAGTCTAAGTGCTATCTAAACTACCTATCTCGTATAGTAGAACTTATAGAAACTCTTGCCTCTGCCAGTGTAGATTTTTGGGTTATTGAGATATGCAAGCCTGACCGCTATGTCAAGATAGTCGCTATCTGTAGGTATGTGTGAGTGGAACTTTTGTAATGTGGTGTGGAATTCAATATTATTTTAACTACATGCATTCGAACTATAAATTCACGTTTCAAAGTTATGGACCCGTATATAACAACAATTGTACGTAAGATGGCTGTGACGTTGATGTCAAGATATGCGAACTTTGGAGTAGGATATACGATTTGTTGTAAAATTTACATAATACACATTTTTACGTCACTCTTACGTGCTTTCCAATTCATTGCTCTACCTATCTCTATCTGTTAACTGTGAGTCATCATAATCTTTGAGATTATAGTCAATCTATACAATTCCAACAATGTCTGTTATTTAGTTCAAAGTGTGAGTTATTAAAGAATGTGAATTGTAATCTCTTTACGTTGGTGCAATTCGATTTCGAGTTGGCGAAAAAAAGTTAATTAAAAATAAAAAAAACATAATTTGAAAAGTTTTTTTTAATGGACAACGTGTTTATATTCGGATCAAGAATATATAACAATTTATAAAGTAATTTGTGCTTGTCGTAAATACACTTATTCGGACCAGATATTTCATGCATCAACATAGAACTCTATACATAAGTGCAGTAGCTTAAACTGTCGTACTCCACGTAACATACAAATACAGAGAAAAGAGAGGAAAAAGAAATTCAGAGATCTATAATGAGCAAAGGTGTACGGGAGAAAGAATATCGTCATAGGAAAGCATAAGAGACTTAATAGATATGAGCGCTTATAAAGAGTGAAAGTATCCATGTTGAGCCATACCACCAATAGTCTGCAGTTAATTATTCCTAGCGCTACGATGACCTTACCTAACCAGGCAGTCTGCACCTCCCTACGTGGCTCATGCTAACTGTCAACGATTTCACAGATTGATCTCAATCAATGTAGCTTCGCAACCTGATCAGTTTGCCTTTCATACCTAGCACTACACGCCTAACTTCAGCACTACTCAACAAAATAAGCCACTGTAATTATATTGTAAAGGTTGAGGAAACCATCCACTTTCCTGATCAGAAGTTACTGAAGCAGGATTCAAAGTCACCAACTACTCGATGGAAGTCAAAAACTAGGACTAGTAAACCACATTTCCAAATAGTTTAAGAGGAGGGGAGAGGAGTAAGGTAAAGTGAAGTGAAAATTCACCACGAACAGACTATTGATGAACTCTGAACTAAACGATCGAAATGACCATTCGAGGTTTAGATCACTTCGATTTGGCTGGTTAGAATACACTACTACTACTGGTTGAAATGGGTGGTATCCAACTACTCATATCAACTTGTCAGTAGTATATACCACCAAATGGAACAAAATTAGATGCAGAATATGACAATAAAGCCTAAACACCTCTAGAAAAATTATGCATTATCTATCAGTCGAAGAGAATGAATGTATCTTTTTATTTAAAAAAACAACAACAGTAAATAAACCCTTCCACTAACCTGCATGAAAAATTCATTGAATAAACAATCTGACCATGCATCAGCAACTGATGGTGAACGCGTTTCATTCGATACATCACATACTTTTAGCAATATCATTAAAAATCTTAGTAAGTATTCCGGTTGTTCATGGATCAATGAAAACAATGAAGAGCGGAGAAGTGAGTCATCTTTAACAGTAGAATATTGTTGTTGTTGTTGCCGTCGTTGTCTGCTTTCTTTGTCCTCACCATCATCATCATTATCATTATCACATTGATCAACTTCATTGTAATCATGGGAGGTTAATCCATGTGAATTACTCAATAAGTGTGTAATAGAAATAGAAGTAGGAGGTGGGGGCTGAGATATAGGAGGCGAAACATGAGCATGAAGAAGAGGTGTAACTGAGGCTAACTGAGGTGATGGAAATACTGAATAACATTGATTAGGTCGACAAGGCTGATTATTGCCATCATCATCCTCAACCTCAACCTCATCATCATCAGCAGTAGTAGCGACATGATTTACACTAGTTGTATTAGAAGTAGCATTATTCTCCATTGATGGTGATGTTAATTTGTGTGAAACAGCAATTACTTGTTGTCGTAAATACTGAAATTGTGAAATACACTCTGTATGTATAGCCATATCTGTACTTAGGATACATCTGTTTGTAATTTTTTTTTTTACAAATCAGACAGATTCATTCCGATGACGTCATTGTTGTTATTGTTTCCGATAGACATACCAAAATTAACAACGAAGAGAAAAATAGGCAAAGAAATAAGGCGTATATTCGGTCAACCATATTTATGAAATATAAATAAAAATTCAAGATTCAAACACAACAGGAAATAATTATATAAACATAATTCTAATTTAGATTAATGGGCTTTCGTAGAGATTTGGATTAGTTCCAATTGTTAGAGTTCGTCACAAACCAACATCAGTTGGAGACATTATTGAAAGCTAGAGAGTATTGGACAGCTGGTTCGTTCTAGAGTTTGAAAGAACCCTTCAACGTTGAGCACCAATGATCCCAAAAGAGATCACGAATTAACAAAGCTATAATTTACGGGTCTTTGAATTCTGGCCCAAATAGTTGAACGCTCAACAAAGTTAATCTTGTAATATGAGGTTTTCGGGTTCGACCCCCGGTGAGCACTGATGAGGAGTTCCAAGCTAGAAAGAGACAGCTGTTCAGTGCTCCCTGCTTTTCAATGATCTCTCTAACTGGTGTTGGTTCCTAGTGGAATTAACATTGAAATAATTTTAATTCACATTTCACCTACCATCCGGTGAAATAAGATAACTGTTAAATGAGTTCTTCACCATAAACCGAGGGGGTATAAAAACTTTTTAATACTGATGTGTAACTTCTCGTTGGTATACACACATTGCACACCTCCAAGTCTAGTGAAGTATAAGATCAGTCATACCTGTTATTCAGCTACAGGGTCGCAGTACAACGACTCATGTTTCCCAGAGGTCACCCCCATTGCCTTCACACAATGTGATTTAGATATTTCATCCATCACACCTCTGACAGAATGTACACAACTATTTGGTTAACCTTTCATCTGCAAGGGTGAGTGTAGGCACAGGCTCCTGCCAATCCAGTAGAATGTATGCACCAAACTTACACTAACACTATAGACTAGTGTATTAAAAAATATACATAAGAGTTTGTTTGTCCACGTCAACTACTTGTTGATAGGATACTTATTAATAATTTTCACCATTATAATAAAACTGATGATGATTAATTATATTAACAGCATATAATATAATTAATAAATATTATTATTATTTATTAACATTTAAAGTGATTTATCCATAAAGAGCATCATGATTGGAAAACCCGGTTAAAATAAATCAAAGATATAACACACAAGTTAAATGTTCAATAATTGACCTATTTATTTATCACCTTATTTCTTTTCTCAAAAATAGTAGGGCAAAGAGGAAAATTTGGAGAGAGAAAAAACCCTGTGATAAAGGCAGAGAGAGAGAGAGAGTTAGAAAGAAAGAGATGGATGGAAGAAGACTGGCTTGTATCTCTTTTCTTCAGCAGCACCATAATAGTAGCCTGCTTTTTCTGTCTTCTCCTCTCTCTCTCTCTCTCTCTCCCTATCATACAAACCTACACCCATACTACGAAGACAAACAAACAAACTGACGAAACAATTATACATGAAAATAAGGAAATAAAGGACAAATATACTATGACCATTAATAGTAAAAAAAAATAGAAGTTTTTATCTACAAAACAAACCTTATCACAGATCTACGAAAATGACGTGATTCAGTTTGTGTTAATCCACTGGTTATATTTGTTGTTGGATTGGAAATAATCTCAAAGGCTGTAACACAATGATGATTTTCTAATGGTGAGATATCATTGTAACGAAGTGCAAGCCATGATCCAGCATTCACCTTGTTGATATACAGAAAGAGAAAGAAAATAATTGAATCATTGAATGGTTTAATTTTTGTTATATAAAAATAAAGAGCTGCAGTCACAATTAGTAAATGAATGAAATTAAAATTTCGAACAATTGATTTGTTAGCAAACAGGAAGATGTTAAAAAAGGGAGTGCTTAAGACGTCATGAACAGAGCATGTATGACCATGGTACGCGAATCATACTTCAACTAGTTTTTCTTTTCTTTCCTTCACGTTCCCCAGTGGAATGTAGGGCCCCTTCAATCTAGTGGCTTGAAGTTTCTGTAGCAGTGTTTATTTTACGGGATGGGGTTGCTAGCCTCATGTCCAAGCTTTCCTCTTGACCAGGATTATTTCTGGCTTAGCGAGGTAAAGGAGTGCGTCGGTGTTCGGGGATCGAACCCCAGACCATGTGCACGGTCGGCGAGTGTCCTAACCACTATGCCACCGACGCGCACTTCAACTAGTAGGCTCAACTTATCACATTTTAAACAATCAAGCAGGAATTTTGATCGATTTCAGTATAGATTTCATCATAAACTGATATTAATCATAAATTTGCTGTAAGCCAAAGATTATTGGATAACTGTTTTGTCCTAGTGTACGACCAATCATCGGTGAGCAATCATGACACAGTGGTTAGGACTCTCGCCGACCATGCACACGGTCCGAGGTTAGATCCCCTGCCGACGGACACCTGATATCTATTGTCGGCCTGCAAAATTTGGGCTACCGATATCACATGCTGAAAATTCCATACTTGTACCAAAAATACAGTGTGGAATGAAGCTGTAATCAAAAATTTAAAAAATGACCCCACCCCAACAAGGATAGGGCCCCAACTGTAAAGTGTGAATTGGACACTCACCGATAACGCTGGATGGAGGTAGTACTTAATACACGAATTGATTGAATAATCAATCAACGGGTGGACCACCTAATTTGAAGGTCCAAGGTCACATCTCTGGTGGGATGATTATGGGAGCACACTGATGATGAAGAGTCCTAAATTAGGACGGGGTAGCCATCCAGTGCTTTCTAGTTTTCAATGATTCGTCAACTAGTTACATCATTATCATAATTTTTCATCATTCAACCAATACACGTCCCACACATTTTAAATCAATCAAATCCATGCGCCCTATCACTCATTTCTTATACACATGATATTGAACAGGTCATTTTCATTATTTAATAACTAAAATTAAAACTAGTACATGACACGACAACACTGTAGAACACATAAATCATTCAGTAATATCTAAAAAAAGGATGGGGAAGTAACATTTTGAAAAAAAGTGGGTCAAACATATTTGTGAATACATACAGAAACCGAATGATACAGCTGAAGCGTTAAGATACAGTAGTCACGTATATAACTAACAAAAAATGTAAATGTATGTGAATTTTAACACTGTACACGACACTTTAGAGATCATTTAAAAATTTTACCAGATAAAACCACTCGTTTTTATATATATATATATATATAAGCATATATGGGGCTTAAAACTGTTATACCTCTATATCGGTAGATGTCATCAAAATTAAGTTAGAGGAAACTATTGAAAGCTAGTGTGACGTGCTGTTTGTATATGAGAGTATATATTGGACAGATGCTTTGATCCAGTTTCGGACTGTGCAGTGATTACACACACACAAAAGTTCTCTTAGATATACAAAGAGTTTTCGGGCTTAATTGTTTTTTTGGTTTTTGAAGTGAACGCTGGAGGCACTGGCTAGATGAATGAGACCCAATCTAGTTCTGAGAACATAAAAAGATCCGAAAACATCCAATTGAGCACTACAATGTTAAAATTATAAAATGGAACCATCAATAAAGAACAGAACAGTGCTAATGTTTATAACATTTGAATGAATAGCTTCTTTACAACAGACTATGAGTTAAAGAATTGACTTTGAGAAAGTGTACGCTCTTAAAAAACAGTTCATCTGTTAATCTATCAATCTCTTGTAGTTTAAAAGACTCAAAAATGTGGAAAAGTGAGGGGCACAGAGCGAAATTAAACGCACCAATGACCTAGGAAGGCTTAGTTAGCAAGTTGGTAAAACCAGACAGTATATTCACGAAACAAATATGCTTAATGAAGTGTTATGTGGTAAAGTTTGGATAAGGTTTAGGAAAGATTAAAGTTAGGTTTAGGCTAGGAACAAGTTAGAGATAGGTTAACCTAATTAGGAAGATAATAGGGTTGGTTCAAGGTCGATTAGGGTTAGGGTTAGAAGACTAAATTCAACTGTCAACTCTTGCTTGGTTCATTGGTGCGTTCAAGCCTTTTTGCTGCCTAAAACTCAACTTCGCTACGTACTGCCTAAATCTATTGAAAAATATTAGTGTGGTGTGTGCTGCTGACAAGATTTTGTAAATAGTATATCACGTGTGGTGTCTTCTGCAAGAATATTGAATAGTAGAGCGATGAATTATGTTCCAAAGAGAAGAAATAAGACGTCCTTGTGAAACAGTACAGAATGCATGAAAGGATGACAAAAGAAGAACAATACGAAGAAAATGTGCAAACGGAGATTTCAATGTGTAAGCTTTCTGCAGTTTGCCATAACTGTACATTATTTTACCAAATAAACAGTGATGCTACCGAATACTGTTGTATTCTGTCGTTACATTGTTGTTTTATTCTTTAGCATTGAGGATAATTAACAGTGAATTTAGAAAAATATATATCACCAATCCTCTAAGTCATATAGGAAAAACGAATACATCCAAATTTCTCAAATTTCATTCGAATTACTGTTTAATGATGTTATTTAGTTACTCCTAAAGGATGGCTACCACCGACTTAGCATCTGGAGAACACACATAGAGAGGTTTCAAACTATAACATATCGTTTAACAGCTGTAGTCAAAATGGACGTTGTTTTCGTCATCGCATCCACGGAATTAGCTGTCAAAACACATGAAAACCACTCTACATGTATGCAGAAAACTACAAGCACTAATTTGACACAGAAAATGTACAAATCTTAGAATGATTTGAAGCTCCTAGAAGTTTAGCACTCAAATAAATCTGCAATCGGTACACAGAGTGAAATATATCAGATCCATGGAAAACGATTAAGGAAGCCACGAAGACAAAAGGTTGAAAATTAAGTCAACAAACTAATTATTAGAGACCCAAGTACACATGAGAGTGACGAAATCTCCAGGAACAATCAGTGTGTGTACTTGTGCCTGAATGAAAATTATTCTCTACTATGAATTTATAAATGTAGAACCTGGTCAATCAGAAGTTACCGAAAGGAATATTTTTTGAAGTGTATAATGGCATCTTTAATCAACTGCCCTCTTTGTTGTTTAGCTCCTAACTTCTACTTACAAACTAATTCATAACCATTAATGCCTACCATTTGTGACTAGTTATCGTTAAAAACCCATTTACTTCGTCATTGCCTGTAGTTGATTAATCACATTAGTGTATTTTTTAATTTTCAATGAAACATCGTGCTAACCGTTTTTGAAATAATGTGAAAATAGTATAAGTCCTGGTTCAGATGCCGTCAAGTAATTAGTACAGCTGCACGTAGACGTCTTTTTTTCTCTACCGATTTTATAATTTCACTATTTGGCCATCATGTTGATTTTTCCTATAGGTATGATAAATTCCATTTTATTTGTTTAAAAGGTAATGTGACTTTTGCATACTTCTTATCTTCGTGTGCTTACGTCGTCATCCCATTTACTCTAAAGTATGAACTGATAATGAGTCAGTCATGTGGTTTCTGCATCCTTTTTCCAAACAGCAGAATGAATCTTTTCTTTTTTCCCTCATTTTTAAGTTGATTTTTGTGTAACGGTCGTGTATAAAAATCTGATAATATCTGATACACTGTTAGGCCGTTCAAAAGGAATTTGGTACAATATCTTTTATATACACCGTAATTTTACCTAATTCCTATGCTTGACATTAACATTTATCGCGCACCCATGGTGCCACTTCTATTTCCCACTCTTTGTAAAGGTAAAGGTTGGTAAATTCTTTCTAACTTAACAGTGAATTTAATGTTCGTCAGGGTCATTTAGAAACTTATGTATTTAACATGGTTTACAAGTATTTTGTGACCCAAGTGGTCTAGTACGTAGGGTATTACATCCGTGGTACTGTAACAACAGAAGACAAGGGCCAGCCAAACAGATCGTTTATTAAGGAAATCAACACGTATTTACATATTTTCATGTACATTATTATAGCTTATTCAAGAAAAAAACACTCTTCTGATTGGTTGTTTTTCACTGAAAGTCGACCTTGCATCTCTTTGTGGCTGTTTCTTGAATGTCAGATCATCTATATGTTAACTGTATCTGCCTACACAAACTCTGCTGTGATTGGTTGTTGAATCAGTCTTGTTCATATTTTCTCACGAACAATATTTGGGACATAAACAGTGACGTAAATTAATGTCTGCCAATTGGCTAGCAGCCTGTTTTCACCTCAGTAAGATACTGGCCAACAATTCATGCGGTCGATGTGTGGTCTGCAGCCGACTCACCCTTAGACGTTGTTTAACTGGGAGTAAACCCAGTAAGGAGGGAAAGTTGAGCCTGACGTTAGAACGTCGCAACTTAAAAAACACCACCACCGCCAGTGAAACTTCAAAGCTGAAGCTTGAATCCCTTTGTTCCACTGGGAGTGTAAAGGAATGAAAACAACACCAATTGTTTTGACTGTTGTGTGAAACTGTAAAGGCTTTGTTGTCAATGGTTCGCCTTCTTTTCTTAGTCTTGCACGCTAGTGGTCTTGTTATTGTTGTGGCTGACGTTGTGGATTGAGTAGTTTTGGTTAGTTAATTATATCCTCATAAATCTCAGTCAACTAGACCGTGTTACCGATATCGTTGGTTGGATTGGTGGGTTTGCCTACTCTGAACTGAATCGTTTAATCGCGAGGCTTCCATTGTTTTTCCAGAAATAATCTTGAACGCGGTCTTTTCTGATAACCTGTGTACCTAACATCGAA